GCAGGGTGGGTCTCGTCAGGCATTTGGACCCACAGTCAAGATGGATTGTGGAAGGTTACGAGCATCGATGTTTTCAATTTATTGCCGCCAATGCTATTGACCAATAGGAGTTGAGATTTTTGATTGGCTTGTTGTGATTGGTTCGTTCAAAAAAATATTGCGCCAAAATCCTGCATGCTTATTCAACGTCGTTCCCTGTAGTGGGGTGAAAGTTGTTTAAATTGTGCCGGGAAAAATTCCGCCAATCATAGTCGAGGTAACGATATCCCTGATTATTATTGGCTGATTTGAAATTTTATTCCCGCGCCGTTACTCAGCGTCGTTCCCTGTATACAGTACAAGTATATTTCTCCGGAACTTATCTTTTTACAGAGGTTTACGTGGAGATATGTGGTACAGAAAATTTGATAATATAAGAAAAATTGAACGTAACCGGAAAACCTATCAATCATGTCCAATCGAAGTCGAAGGCATCCAGGGTATCGGGATTAGGGTTATTTCAAAATATTATATTTGAGAGTACTCATATAAGCTTTCCTGTATACACGTCAAAATTAATACTATTAAATGATATAGGTTATTATTTGTAAACGTGATATTTGCCTCATTTCCGTCATGTTTTGTGACATATCTCACAAGATATTCATTTCTACACCTGATATCCAAAGAAAGTTTTTTATATGGCGTTTAGTTATGTGCACACAAGACGTTTCACTGAAAAAGGCCATCTGGACCTTGAGAAATGCATAAATATTCCCTCGATGCCATCGACCACTGTTAATAGAAGTACTATGGTGCACGTCATCTGTAAACTACCAACTTTTCACAAAAATGTCTGACTTCTATTTCATATTCATTACTCAAAATTTCAGCAAATTGAGACGTAGAATCGACAGATCTCAATGTAATGAAGAAATTCTACGTCTCAGATTCAAATTTGGAGTTGAATTGGTCCAGAAATAGATATTTAACCTAGCAGTATTTTGAGCCTGTTCCGAGTAAAATCTCAGACGGGGTACGGGGTGGCGATTTTTTTTCATCTCGTTCGAGGTTGCGACACAACCATAGCTAATGATCTAATTGGCTAATAATATAAGCCAACCATTCCACACCAAATCACGTCCAGTAACACCACCAATGACTGTGAATCCACATTCAGTGGTGGCAACAAAAGTCAACCAAATGACCAAGGAGAACTCGACCAAGGCCGAGCTTCTTGCACACATCCAAGCACTCGAGCATCGTGTGGCTGGATCATCTTCGGGGATGGGCAATGCAGTAGACAACCTCGCTCATAGGAAGCGCACCCCTGTCGAATACATGGACTCTTGGTGATCGCGTTGCTAGAGCTTCGCTTCAATGCTTACCGCAACGCGTTCAACGGCAGCAGATCGGCAAAGCAACTCAACTTGCTCTGGGAAAGATTGACCGTGCAGTTCAACATCGCGACGAACCAAATCATCAATGTAAACTACTATTATTCACGAATGTTGCATTAATATCGATGTACAGGTTGACGCCGACTCGATTAAGAACAAGCTGCGAAAGCTTCGTGCAGAGTTTATGGTTATCCAACGCGCCTTGGTCCAGACCGGCAACGTCACACCAGTGCCCAAGCGTTTGTATTACGCAGAGATGCTAACGGTGTATGCAAGCTTGCAAGGACTTGGCGACATTGAGTTCGGGATGGAGTGTGTACCCTTGGTTGATGATGGGGGCCGGTGCAGCTTGTGATGCTGACTCTCAGTCGAACAATGATGAGTATACAGTACCAGCAGCCAAAAAACGGAAGGCAGAAGTCGACATGGAGATGAAGCGGCAACGCCAAGGCCGCAAGCACGCTCAAACTGACATCAGCCAGGGTCTGGAGAAGTTTGGCAACACCCTCGGCGCCGCAATTGTTCAGGCAGCCAATGTCAAGAATGCTCCCGTTGGAGGACCCGACATGGCTGTGCAAATGGCTAAACTTTTGGAAGTTGCTGAAAGCACGAAGGCCAGCATCGATAGTTCCAACCAAGTTCAAATGAAACTTCTAGCTTTTCTGGAAACTAAGTTCTAATGCATGCGTAATTCCTCACATATGTGGTTTGAATTAGTGATATGATATATTTGATATTGATATATACGTATACGGTCCTTAGGGTACGAGTGCAGATGAAAAAAATGTTTTACTAATATCACTACAATAAATTATAGAGATGGTTTTTAATTGTGTCACGAGCGCGCTACGCTGCAGCACCATCTACTTGGAATAACTCGTCATCATCTACAATGTCACCGCCGATATGCATCCACCCGGGGTATGTCTCAGGCTGTGTTGGAGCCACAGCCTCGTTGTCGTAGTCAATGTACCAATTATGCAAGACCAACGTAACTTCAATCAATCTTGCCATGTCGCGGGGGCAGTGGTGCAACAATTCGTGCTTGAAAATGCGAAATTTGTTTTTCCACCGGCCAAAGGCGCGCTCAACAACCATGCGGCTGCGACTGTGGATCCAGTTATAGTTGGCTTCGTCTGAAGCCATGCTCGAGACGATCGAATACGGGGTCATTACGTGCGTGAAAAGCTTGTAGCCAGCGTCACCAAGAAAACAGCTTCCGGGGGGATCTCTGGTGTGACACGTTTGCCCAAATAACGATTCGTTGAACATGGCTTTGTCGTTCTGGCTTCCCGAACGCAGCGAGTACGACATAAATCGCATGCGGTGGTCTACAACGGCTTGCATATTAAAAGCCGGAAACCCTTACGGCAATACCAGCCATAAAAGTCCTCAAATCGCTTGACTTAAATGAGGCTCCCATCAATAGCACCATATGCATTTGGGAAGCCGTGTTCTTCGAATCCCACGCGAACAACCTCCCACTCATCGCGCGACGACGGCAACACGATGGTTTCCAACACGTAGCAAAGTTGAATAACCAAAGTAACTTGGTTGCAGTACTCATACGCTCGCGTCTTGGAAATGCCGAAAAGTGCGGCCGTTGACTCATATCCGTCTGAGTGAGTGAGATAGTGGAGTGTGCTGGCAACGCGGTCGTTAACGCTCATCGTATTGTGGTGGTGAAGAGGAGGGTGCACTCGCTGCCATGCAACTTCGACATTTTGGCAGATGCGCTGGTACGTGCCTCGCGTGCACCGCAGGTGTCGTATGAACCATGCGTCGTGGATGGGGCTGTTCTGC